ATGATTTTTTGAATCTGGCAACAGAAGCAAAAATAAATGAGTAGGACTGCATCACACTAAACAGCTTCTGTGCAGCAAAGGAACCCATCAACAAAAGGAAATGGCACCCTACTGAATGGGAGAAAATATTTGCAAGTCATATTGATAAGAGGCTAATATCCAAAATATACAAACACTTCATACAACTCAATATCAAAAAGTCCCAAACTGATTAAAAAATGGGCAGAAGATCTGAATAGACAATTTTCCAAAGATGTACAGATGGCCAACAGGTACATGAAAAGATACTCAGCATCATTAATCATCAGGGAAATGCAAGTCAAAACCACAGTGAGATATCATCTCACACCTGTTAAATGACTATTATAAAAAAGACGAGAAGTAACAAGTGTTGGCTAAGGTGGTAGAGAAAAGGGAACCCTTGTACACTGTTGGTGGAAATGTAAATTGGTGCCGCCACTATGGAAAATAATGTGGAGGTTCCTCAAAAATTTAAAAATAGAAATGCCATATACAGTAATTCCAATTCTAGGTATTTATCCAAAGAAAACAAAAACACTAATTCGAAAAGATGTATGCACCCTGATGTTCATTTCAGCATTATTTATAATAGTCGAGATATGGAAAAAACCTGAGTGTCCATCAATGGATGAATGGATAAAGAAATTGTGCCATATATATATATATAATGGAATATTATTCAGCCATAAAAAATGAAATCTTGCTGTTTGTGACAACATGGATATATGTAGAGTGTATCGTTCCGAGTGAAGTAAGTCAGAGAAAGACAAATGCCATAGGATTTCATTTATATGTGGAATCTAAAAGAGAAAGAAAGAAAACCCAAGCTTATAAATACAGTAGATTGGTCAATAAAAGAGGTGAGGGTGGGAGTAATGGGTGAACTTTTTTTATTTGTTTGAATAAATAGAATAAAAAATTAAGAAAAGGAATTACAAAAAAGTAGGAGGAGTGAGATATAATCAAGGACAACCAGAAAAATTCACAAAACTGTGAAAGAACATTGTCAGGGGACTAAAAGACCAGAATGACTTGTGAATATGTATTATGTTTATGACTATATTAAAAAAAAGAGAGACTGGAGAGTGTGTCTGTGACATTTACATGTGAGTCAAGGCTTTCATATACTAGTATGATAGAATATTATGAAATAGTTTTATAATATCATTTTATGGCAAATATTATAGTATTATAGCACATTATAGTATAGCATGATATTATAAATATAACCTGAGAGGCCGCTATAATTATTGTAATGCTAGAAAATGATTTTTTTTAGTAAAAGTGAGTCTAAATTACAAAGTGGTATCAAGTTAAAGGGAAAGAGCCTCTGCTCCAGGGCCAGCTACATCTCTGGGCCTCTGCTAACCCTGGTTGTATGGTGAACAGGCCAGCCAGGTCCCTGCTTCCTTCACACACACGCACACACGCACACAAAGGACTTTGGAAGGAACTTAGCAAGATCAGGTTTTCCGTTTGGGCATGGTGGCTTAGGCCATTGACCATATGAGCCTAGAGCTGAGGAAGAAGCTCTGGGTGGGAGATTCAAATTCCGAATTTATCAGCGTATACTTATATCTATGCCATGAGACAAATGGCATCACCAGACAAATTCAGATAATTCTCTTGAACACGTTTAGAGATGAAGAGGAATAAACAAGAGGACACTTAATGGAGGGGCCAGAGAGTGAAAGATGAACCCAAGAGCAAGTGGTGCCCTGGAAGGCAAGAGTGGGAAGTCATTGAAGGAGGACTGTGTCCTAAAATCGAGCCAGAGAAGTGACTTTGGGCTTAGCAATCTGGCACTTGGTTTTGACTTGTTGAGAGCAGTTGCGGTGGAGTAGAGGGGACGAGCTGACTGGAGTGGCCTCAGTGAAGAGTCGGAGGACAGAGAACAGAGACTACTCTGTCGACAGCTCTTTCAAATTTCCCTTTGGAGGTGAGCAGATCATTTTGGATCCTGGGGTCTTTGGGAAATGTCAGTGCTGCCCTGGGTGACAAAAGAATAGTGGCATCATGGGAGCAGGACAGAGGGGCACCAGGAGACAGCTGAAGAGGAGGGCATCCAAGTCTGGCGTGGCCTGTCTGCTTGTCACACGGAGTCCAGGTTGCTGCAGGCTCTACAGGGTCAGTGAAAAGCCTTCCACAGGCCACAGAAGTTTAGTTGAGATGAAGCATTCACACCAAAAAAGTTTAATAGCATTCCTTCTTTTGTGTCCAACTCATCTCCGTGGGAAAGGGAGTATTGAATGGTTGTAAAGGTGGGGAGGGGTGGCTGTGTTCACACCCTGGACACTTTGGAAATGAGCATGCCTTCTGTTGAGGCACAAGAACAGGTGTTCACGTCAATTAACCTGTCTTTGTAACACTGTCTGCCAGGAGCTCTGTTACCCAGTAATGTAGGTCTTCTGACGAATCAAGTAATCGAGCTAACAAGCACCTACAACTTGTGGTTTAAATTAATTATCAGTGTTGAAGCAAGTGTAAGTCTGTGTGCATTGTAGCTGTTGAGATGAAGACTGGATGGAGAGTCTCTCTTGTCAGCCAGCACCTGTGGGGCCACTGACTTTGGGCACCACAGATTCGGGAATGGATCCTCTTCCTTCCAGCAGCAGAGGCTTTATTTCATCCATTCATCTAGCGTAGCCTCTGCAGAGAGAATTCCCGTCAATCATGGGATTGGGAGACAGACTAAGCAGTCAGTTAATCAAAGAGATTCTGAGATTTGGAGAGCCTCCAGGTCTCACCATCATCATCTTGGAGAAGAGTCATGTGTTGCCTGTATCTCCACAAAGTCGAGTTCACGTTCTCTAAGGCATAGCATCCTTATGGACAAAATACAGATGTTCCACAATGTAGCCTCTCCTTTTACAGTTTTCTTTTTGGAAAATGGTTACAGTGTGGTCTGAAACCCTGAAATGGTTTATGAAGTGGTTAGAAATTCCAAAGACGAGATCCTAGTACCAATTACTGTTCAGTCTGTCACTTTGGGAAACAAAATCTGTGAACTACTCTGTTCTCCCATTTGATAAGTAGGTATAACACTGTTACTGTGTGTGCTATAAGCTGTGTGGATATGATAGTATGGAAAACTGTAAAGTATCTTAAGAAGAAAAGGTTACATAACAGCCATAGGCAATGATATGTCTTATGAGTTATCAATTTTAAGCTTTTGTATTATACTTCAGATCAGTATTCTATTTTTCTCTCTTTTCCACATTATTTAAGGCACATAGGGTATACTAAGAGTTAAGGATGTAGCAGGAGGAAAAATTAAGGTATTACTCTTAACTTACACAAAACTTTTCATAGAACCAGTATAATAAGCCACTTTTCCTAATTGCTACATTAAAGTAAATGTTACTAATAAGTGTCAGAATCCATCAATATGCAAAGTTGAAATTATATTACAGAAATAGTGATGAAAATAACACTTCCACCACATTTTAAAAATTGATTTTGTTTTCCTTTTCAGAATTTAAAGTGTTAAACTCTTCACTTTGGCCAGATGATTAGAAAGATATAGTTCTCCTGATTATTTTTATACTAGAATAATCTTTCATTATTAATCCATTTAAGTTTTCTCTCAAATCAGTTCATCAGTGCTACCAATTAAAAATAGAAAATGTATGTGCTCAATTTCAAGAATTAAAAATAATGCCTTGGGAGTAGCATTTCTTTCCTGTGGTGAGAGGGTTGTTGGATTTTCCAATTAAAGAAGTCTCCATAGTGGAAATGAGTAGTCAATTATGAAAATTATTTTGAATAGCCAATTTGCATATCCCTAATTGTATTCATTTCTTTGAAAGACTAAACTTGGAATTTATGATGTTGTGATTGGTTACCCCTGTAGTTGTGTTATTAATGCTATTGCTAGCAAGATTCCCCTATGAATGGGGCTTTGAGAGCCTTTCCTGAATAAATGTTTGAATCATAAGTAGGTTTGTTTTATTTAATGAATGAAGGATATCTGAAGATTCACTAGCGGTCTTCAGATTTGCACGCACTGCGCTGCGTTGGGTTGACAGCAGCATCCCCGTGCTGCCTAATGCGCTCACCTTTGGACTCTTCACATCCACAGCGCAGAAGCATGAGAAGTTCCTCTGTTGTCGTGCTGTCTGCTGGTCGAAAATGCAGTGTCCGCGGGGCTGCCCTCACTGTTGATACAGACAGCACTGTTCACACAATTGCTTGAATACGTTATTATGTTTTGCCCTTATTTTATGAAAAATGACTTGGAAATGGACAATTAAACATTTTTATATTGATGCCAAGAAGCATAGTTCTCATATGAAATAGGATTGAGAGGAAAATGGAAATAATTAGGTTAAAAGTGCTAATGTTTAGACTCATTGTACTTCTCATTGACTGAACTTAGAGCCAGTCAACATAGAGTCAGTCATGAAGGAAAAGAACAAAATTAAAGGCATGTGTAAAAAGGAGATACAAGATAAACACAAATTGTGTGTAAATATACACATTTATTTATCTACCTATTATGATTGTATCTAAAAGGACAGATAATTATGGATATTATAATATCTTTGGCTGGACTGGAGTGTCGGGACTGGAATGTCCTCTTCCACCATGTAAGTCTGCTGTTCAACTTCTGCATATTCCACTTTTATGTTTGGGAGCACTCCTCAAAGAAAGAGGTACTGACGTCCTTTTGGGAGTATTAGAAAAGGTAGTGAAGGGAGGAGGCAGCCATTTCATTCCTTTAAAAGAGGCAGTCTGTCTCTTCCTGAAACTGGTTCTGTTTCAGGAAGAGACAAATGAACCAGCAGTGGTTGTTTCCTGGCCGTGGTTCTTTTAGACGTAGTACTGAAGTGAGAGCTCGTGGTACAGGAACATTAAAGTTTTACGTTTTCAGAGGCCGTTTTCTTTAAAACCAAACAAAAATCACAGTCAGCTAGATACGGTGTCTGTGTGGGATGCGTGTCCTACAAAGTAATTAGTGTTGTTGGTTTTGCTTGTAGCTGATTGCTGTGTTTGACGAACAAGAACCACTCCACAAGATCGAGAGCCCGGGTGGAAACCCTGCAGGTCAGCAGAGCCCAGAGGCTTTTGAAACGGAAGTGGCTGCCCAGCTGGCTGCGTTTAAACCAATCGGTGGGGAAATTGAAGTAACCCCTTCTGCTCTGAAATTAGGTATGTGTATTTTTAGTGGTCTGTTTTCATCTGGTTGAATACATCATCTTGCTGACTATGAGTTGCTTCTCCTTTATGGCTTATCCATTAGTATCTTTCTCTAAGTTTGTCTTTTGTCTAAATTATTTTTTTATACAGCTTTCGCAGGTGCTGCTGTTCAGGCAAGTGGCTGCAGTATTTTCTTGAATTGCATGTGAATCTGCATTGTGTGCCCTTGAAGTGTCATGGTGGGGAGCTGGACTGGAAGTGATGAGGTTCATCTGTAGCCTATGAGGACTTAAAAACAAGTCCCTGAAAAAAGTCATTTGGAAAAAGCTTGGGGTTATCAAGGAATCCAGACTGGAAATGAAGGTCACTTTCTGTTTTAGCCACCTTCTTTTTCTCCCCAAACTGTTTATCTCAGAGTTTGGGGGAAACATTTTGAAGTTAGTTTGTTACTTTTGTCCTACTGATTCATTCAAATAAGGGCAACTTGCCCGGTGAGTTTGCTCAGAATTCTTTTTTGTTACATTTGTTTTGAAGGTGTTGGTAGAAAGAGAAAATAAACATTCTTCTGAAGTTTCAGTGAATTTACAACTCCAAGAGAAATAATATGTCAGTTTTTGGTGATACCTCGTAGAGATAAATTTAGGTCAGTTTAGCAGCATGGAGATTTTGAAAATCCACTAATATGTTGGTACTTGAAACGATTTTTTATTCCTGTCGCATGTATGCATACATTTTGAGGCAGCTCTAGGCACCTGTTGTAGGTTAGTTCTCGAGCTAGAACAGAGGCTTTTTCCAGTTTGCAAAGGGAATCTTATTCTTTTAAAGCAAAGCGTATGCTTAAAATTGTAAAAATTGTACATACTACTACTTTTTTCCATTTGAAACGAAATGTATGCTGTAAAGTTTATTTTACACACCACCTTACTGAATACCCTTGTTTCGTACTACTTTTCTGGAAAGCTTCTGTAGTGCCCCTTTCATAATAAACAAGTGAAAATTAGTGCCCTCTGGTCTTTGTGACTTTCCTCTATCTTTGGAAGCCAAGCCAGGGAAGCAGTTTGCTGGACCACGGCCGGTGAAGGTCTTTGTGGCATCTTCTGTTCATTTAAAGCGAGGTTTGTGGCTTCAGCAACCTCACAGCCCTGTCATTCATTTGCATAATGATGCCTTTTTATCCATTATGTAAATGGCATGGGAGGAAAATTAGGCAATAAGGGAAGACGAAAGAAGAAAATTGCTCTTGCTTGTTTTAATATTCGGCTTGGAAGCCAGCACTGTGGTCTTCAGAAGGCTGGACCCAGAACCCTTGTGCCTGCGAGTTCCTGTCCACCTTTCTCTTTAGAGCTTACTCAGGGAAAAAAGTTTGTCTTTCTTCGCTTTTTCAGTTTCTTTTGTTGAACCGTCTGAGCAATATAATATTGAATGCAGGAAGAAGAGTAAGCTAGGGTTCCCATCTTTTGGAAGTGGACTTTCTACCTCTTCAATTCTGATTTTTGGTGAGACAGAGATAGACAATAATATTTATCAATGGTGACCACATGCCAGGCACTGAGCTCAACGCAATGCACTGAGTATTCTGAATCCTTTACTCGTAACAACTTGTTTGAGCCTCATACTTAGTTGAGTTTTCTGATTCCCCTCATTTAAGAGATAAGGAGACAGGAACAGAGAGGTTAAGTAATTTATCCAAAATCACATAGCTGGTAGGTGGCAAAGCCAGGATTTGAACACTTGCTGGCTCCAGTATCAGAAACAATTTTTCTGTGCTGCCCTTCACATGCTATTTATAAAAGAATAAATCAATATATTTTTCCTTGGATTTCCTTCGTGAATATATAGCAAAACCCTGAAAATGCTTGACTCCTTGGCTTAAAAATCCCATTTCACCTAGTACTGTAGATTAAATGATGAGACTGCCTGACCTTCACTATGAGGTGGTCAACATGGCCTTCCATCCAGTCAGTCTGAAACCGTGGCCCCATACCCAGCCCCACTGTCCCCACTTTCTCCAGCCTATGACCGTGCAGGCCAGCACCTTATCATCAATCAGACTATTGCAGGGCCTCAGACTGACCTCTCTCTTTACAATCCTGCTTCTGCCAGGGCTGCCGTTTGAAATCACAAATCTGATTAGAGAACTCCCCTGACTACCAACTTCCAGTGGCTTACGAGGGCGCGGAGAACCATGTCCAAACTCGTTAGCAAGCTGGTGCAGATGGTTCCTTGGAATTACTGGGAGGAATTTGGGCAGGGCCGAATGGTGAAAAAAACTCATCCCTTATCTACTCATGGTGCCATCAGATTGAGTACTTTTCAATTCTGGAGATTTAAAAGCAAAGACAAGACATATTTATTGAGTTTCTCAGATAGAAAAATTAAAGAAGGAAGCAACACACACAGCTTTGGCTTTTGCCCATTCTGTTGTCCATTTCTTGTCCTCAGGTGTGGCCATAGGTTGGGCTTGTGTCTTCTCAGGATGGAGGGATACGTTGGCTGCAGAGGCAATGTTCGTGGCTGTTCTGGGAGTGTAACCTGGTTGTGCTGTCAGGCCCATCCTGAGATCCTGTTTAGATGAAGAGTGGAAGGGAGTGGTGAGAGAAGGAGAAGCATTTATGTGCCAGTGACTCATTATGACAGGGTGCATATAAAATGCCAAATGCCGAGCCCCAGCTCTTCATCTCCGCTCCCCGCTCTGCTCCCATAGGCCATTGGAGCGGGTTCTCCTTCCCCCGGGGCTCGTTGACCCAGGTAGTTGCAGCAGAGGCAGGGCTTGGTCTCCCGGGTTTTCTCATTCTTGGGGCCCATTCACAGAGATGAGGAATTGAATCATTATCTTCTCACAAGCTTATCTCACCTAAGGAGACACAGTTTAACAAATCTTACAAACCAAGACATTTTTATAATTAGATCATCTTAATCACCAAACATTTACATTTTGCTGATATCTGAAATAAAAATATACCCAATGTTTAGTATAATTTTTATATCTCCTTCCAACACAAGATAATCATCAATGATATTCTGTTCAAAACCAATGACAACATTCCCCACTTACACATGGTTTGGCTCCTCCTGTTCTTTCTTCATCTTTCAGGATGAAATACTTCTGCACAGAATATGCAGAAAGTTCATATTCTCAGCCTCTTCCTGATCCGGCTACTTCCTCTCTGGCCACCTTTATTATTGGCCAATCTTCCACAGTCATCTTAACCTGCAGCCACTATGAACCACTCGCCATTCCCCAGATTTGCTGCTCTCTCTCAAAGCTCTGTGCCTCTGTAGGCGATGTCCCATCCCCTGGCTCACCTCTTTGCCTCTCTCCTACTTGGTGAACTTGTATGCACCTTTTAAGCTCAGCGATCCGGCATGACCTTGTTTGTGAAGCCTCATCCAAATCTTCGATAATTCAGCGGATGTACAATAAATATGTTTCTTAATTCTTCATTCAACCATGAAGGGTTGCAGAGATGAATTGAAGAAATCTTCCACTGAACTAAGTGGGTTCATAGTCTTGTACCTGATAAGCTAATGGGGTATATATTTTTAATTTGTAAGGGGAGTTTTCAATCAAGTGTAATGTGATGCTAAATGACTAAGTCCTGACTCAGCCTCAACTAGCAAATCATTCTGATACTTGAAGATTCTATGTTTCTGAAATTTGCCAATGCTTTTTACTGTGTAGCCTGGAGATGCTAACTTAAGATTCTATTTGAAAGAAGAGACATGGTGGAGCAAACACGAGGTGGAACAGCAAGAGTCCACTTGGACCTCTATCACCTGGTTCAGGAATTTTCGAAGTCTTCTTTGTGCAACCCTATATTATGGTACTTCTTAACGTGTTTTGGGGTTTCAACAAATATTTGATTTTTGTTAACAAATAACATTCATTGAGCACTTACATTCTAGATGCTATTCTAATACATTCATGTGACTTTTTGTACAAATATGATTGGTTCTGCTTGTAGGGAAGAAAGGAATGCAGAAGGCTGTTGAGCAGGCATCAGAGAACGCTAATGCCTTTTAGAAGTCCTGCAGCAGGGGCCCGCCCCGTGGCTCAGTGGTTGAGTTCATGCCCTGCGTTTCAGGGTCCCGGGGTTTTGCTGGGTCGGATCTTGGGTGCAGACTTGGCATCACTCATCAGGCCACGCTGAGGCGGCGTCCCACATAGTAGAACTAAAAGGACCTACAACTAGAATATACAACTATATACTGGGGGGGTTTGGGGAGAAGAAGAAGGAAAAAAAGGAAGAAGATTGGCAACAGATGTTAGCTCAGGTGCCAATCTTTAAAAAAAAAAAAGAGTCCTGCAGCAAAGAAACCTATCTCCACTCGAAAGAATTGTTAACAGCCCTTGGAACAACTTTTGTGAAATGCTGGTCTAGACAGTTCCACAGAATTTCATAATTAGCAATTTTTTAGAAAATTGACATTATTTTACAAACGAGCGAAGAAGAGCTTAGAGAGACTCAACGTGTGCTCTGGTGTCAAATAACTGGTTAAGGAAAGAAAATTGGAACCTGCATCTCTTGGCTTCTAGTTCATTCTTGGCTCTTTCAGCTACGTGACATTTTTTGGATTAATTGTAGATTTCAATTATCCATGTCTTTTAATACTACATGTGATAAAATAGCACCTCATATCCTTTTGGAATTGAGATAGAGTGTAAATTAATAAATAGATACTACGAATAGCTGTAAATCAAAAGCTAATAAGGGAATAAAGACCAGAAAATTAAGATGGAGAAAATTTCTTTTAACTCTCTCTGTAAGTTTCAGAAATGAATTTGCTCCTGTCACCTCATCCCATGTATATGTGCACCTGTGTGCACATGCATGTGTGGGTGTTTGGAGGGAAATTACACCAAAACCAATAAGCTAATAGGATCCCTAGGTGATTTTTTTCTATACTATGGATATTGTTGCACTCTTTTTGACACTTAAAAGATCCGTGTGTAGGGCCTTTTGTAAATAAGACAAATTAGTGAGGACAATTATTTTGAAGTTTGGAAGAGT